CCAGGATGAACCGAAACGACCTAATTTTCATTATATATATATAAATATATATATATATATATATATATATATATATATATATATATATATATATATATATATATATATATATATACCATCTGGACGCCTCGTTAAGGCAGGTGTGGTTATCTTGAGGTTATCTTGAGATGATTTCGGGGCTTTAGTGTCCCCGCGGCCCGGTCCTCGACCAGACCTCCACCCCCAGCAAGCAGCCTGTGACAGCTGACTAACACCCACGTACCTATTTTACTGCTAGGTAACAGGGGCATAGGGTGAAAGACACTCTACCCATTGTTTCTCGCCGGCGCCTGGGATTGAACCCAGGACCACAGGATCACAAGTCCAGCGTGCTGTCCGCTCGGCCGACCGGCTCCCGCCATTCCCTCCACAAATGACTCGCGTAAAACAAGCATAACTCACCCCAATAGCGAGACTAAATTAAGGTCACAGGCTAACCCTTGCGGCCAGCACGCTGACCACCGCTATATTCAGCGACTGAGTTTAAACCCTGCGTAATGGGGGTTTAAACCCCTGCTTTAAAAACTCCGCTAAACGTAGCAGTTGCCAAGGTGACGGGCGAGCTACTGCTACTTATAGTAAGTAACAGGCTGCTGGAGGAAGGAGAGAAGGAGGGGGCAGAAAGATGGGGGGGGGGGCTAGGAGGAGGGCAGAAGGAGGTGGGAAGTCGTGTACTAACAATCTAAGAGGTAGTTCCATTGGGTTGACTAAGGGGGTTGCGGTAGTTGGCGATAACGAGAGGATGCCAGTCTGGAGGGTGTGACTTACTACAGGTAAACACGAGTCGAGGTAATTACCTCTCATTATAAACGTAATCAATTACCATAAATGTCATTACATTTAAGCCTTTGTCGTAACAACCGACCATCCAACCGCTGAAACCACCTGACTGTTGCAGATTTGCTCGAGGTCGTGGGAGTGACTGAGATAATGAGGAAATTCTAGGAGGCCTATTATCTCCCCACACTCAAGGCCTACCTAGGGAGTCGGTCGGCCGAGCGGACAGCACGCTGGACTTGTGATCCTGTGGTCCTGGGTTCCATCCCGGGCGCCAGCGAGAAACAAAGGGCAAAGTTTCTTTCACCCCTGAATGCCCCTGTTACCTAGCAGTAAATAGGTACCTGGGTGTTAGTCAGCTGTCACGGGCTGCTTCCTGGGGTGTGTGTGGTGTGGAAAAAAAAATATTAGTAGTAGTTAGAAGCAGTTGATTGACAGTTGAGAGGCGGGCCGAAAGAGCAGAGCTCAACCCCCACAAGCACAACTAGGTGAATACAATCCGCATCATCAACCGTGAAGAGCTCAGTCCCCCAGGGTACTGTGCTTGCTCCTACACTTTTTCTTATCCTCATATCGGCCATAGACAAGGACGCAAACTATAGTACCATATAGTTTCGCAGACGACATTAGCAGTTCCGTGAGAGTAGACAACATAGAGGACACAGAAATCTTCGAGACTGATGTAAATATCTAACTCTGAGCTTGAAGGGCTGAAGAAAATGTATATATGTTGGTTACCTTTGTAAATATGTGGCCACATATGTGGTAGAAAATAATAATAATAAAAGAAACAGCCACACTACCAGGGGAAACTGCAAAAATAAATTAATGGAGATTTGAGGATTGAAGATATCTTAAAATTGAGATTGAGAGAGTATATAGTGAATCTGCTCTCAGGGTGTCACTTGACAATGGTAGTCAAGTGTGGGTTGATGAGTATGATGATCTTGAAATCATCATACTCATCACCCATCCCTCACCCTCCATCACCCATCTCATCCCATTCATCCACCCTCACCCCTATTCATCCACCACAACACACTGACCAATGCCAGTCGTTATAGACCTCTCAGGCATTCCCCTCACTCAAGTGTGTGTGTGTGCGAGGTGTGAAGTGCGTCACTCACTCTCACACTCACACTCATTCACACCAGCGCCTCCATTCAGCGGCTGGTGTACAAGTGTCGGGGTCTTGGCGTGGTGGGTTCATTCAGTACCTTACGTGCTGTTATAATTTCATGGCTCTCATAGTTTGAATACCTTCCTGGGTGATCTGAGTCTGTCTGTCTGTCTGTCTAACTGTCTCCACCCCCACCTTTCCTCACCCCTCCTCCTCCTTCCTTGTTCACTCGCTTTCTCTTATTCTCTATTCTCTGCTAATCTCTCTTTCTCTTCCCCCAAAAGCTCCATAATGTCATCACTGGGAAGCAAACATTCACATCCTCTATAACTTTATAACTGCTGATATATGTATAAAACCAAAAATTTAATTCGTAAAATCAATAAAGAAAATACTCAACGAAAGTTCACGTTTTCGGATTAAACCAAACCAAATATCTATATGTTTCATAGTAAGGTTACCAGAATAATATTTTGGGAGCGGTGTGGCGTGTTAAGGTGGTCTGGAAACTTAATTAATACAACTTAACACACAAGCTTTTCTCCGTAAGACACTTATCACCAAAATGCTGAAGACTTACTCTTGCCTAACCTAACCGTCAAACTTAACATATAATGGCTTTTCCTAATCTAGCCTAATCTAGCCGAACCTAACCTGTCTTAAAGTAGCCTAATCTAACCAAACCTAACCTCTGCTAATCTAATTTGGTTAGCAGATTCTAACCAAACCTAACCTAACCTGTGCTAACCTAGCCTAATCTAACCGAACCTAACCAGTCGTAACCTAACATAATTCAAGATACGTGGGCTTCCAAGCTCCGACACGGCCACTATACGTCTCGTGGTACAGTTGGCTTCGTTCTCGACTCATAATCCGGTACCCGGGGTTCGATTCCCGGAGGTGATAGAAATAGTTGGGGATGTTTCCTTTCACAGAATGCATCTGTTCACCTAGCAGTGTGTAGGTACCCGGGAGCAGTTAACTGTCGGTATGTTGCGTCTTGAGAAGGGTTGGTAGTTCCACCTTGAGGAACCTCCATATACATAAGCTTCCGGTTCCCGACATGACAAACTACTCAACGGAAAAATAAAAGTATACAAAGAAGAAATATTATAGTTTGTGCTATATATCACAGCAACCAAAGAAAACGTACACCCTGGAGACATAACAGAAAATGGACACCTGCACGTGAAGGAGAAACTCTTCAAATCAGGTAAGGCACTTATTGCCACGGTGAGTCACGTAATATTCAACTTCCGGAAAAGAGATATTGAGGTTGTTACGCGAAACCACAATTCCGCAGCTTTTAGTTCAGCGGAATTTACTCGAACCATATTGCTCGTTAGCTCATGATTCACGGGTCACTGAACCAAATAGCTCGCAAATTGCGATATTAACTAACTAAATAAGGGAGATGGCGACGAACGTCTGGAGAACGTAACAGCCACCAACCACTCTTACCTAACAGTGACTATGAGAGGACGCGGCCTATCTTGCTGTTCAAATTCTACGTCGTATGCAGGCGATGAGTCACAATAACGTGGTTGAAATAAACAAATCCACAAGGGCCGTGACGAGGATTCGAACCTGCGTCCGGGAGCATCCCAGACACTGCCTTAATGGACTGTCGTAGCTCAGTCGATTAAGGCAGTGTCTGGGATGCTCCCGGACGCAGGTTCGAATCCTCGTCACGGCCCTTGTGGATTTGTTCATTTGATGTATCACGTTATTGTGATCTCTGTGTGTGGTGGTTGAAATATGTTGACCAGACCAGACACTAGAAGGTGAAGGGACGACGACGACGACGTTTCGGTCCGTCCTGGACCATTCTCGAGTCGATCTATGTCGTATCTTTTCTCGAAGCTGTAGATGGTGGCGGGGGGAGGGAGGAGGCCCTTCCACTACTTGAGATTATCTTGAGTTAGTAGATTCTAAAGTACTACTACTAAAGTAGTACTACTAAATTCAGTTCACTTACTGACCACCGTTCAGGGTTACCAGTATTTCCTTACATTTGCCCTTTTTCCCCACATTTCCAGGGGGGGATCTCCGATTTTGAGTGTTTTAATTAAAATCTTAGCTACCTGCCCAGGCCAACCGCCCTGAGCACCCAGGAGGCAACCCACAACATGAACACAACATGGGGAAGTGCTGGGAAGACGGGACACCACGAGTGTAGCTCTCATCCTGCAACTACAGGATGGCCTCATAGCCTGGTGGATAGCGCGCAGGACTCGTAATTCTGTGGCGCGGGTTCGATTCCCGCACGAGGCAGAAACAAATGGGCAAAGTTTCTTTCACCCTGAATGCCCCTGTTACCTAGCAGTAAATAGGTACCTGGGAGTTAGTCAGCTGTCACGGGCTGCTTCCTGGGGGTGGAGGCCTGGTTGAGGACCGGGCCGCGGGGACACTAAAGTCCCGAAATCATCTCAAGATAACCTCAAGATACACTTAGGTAATTACACCCAGCGATGAATGAACATACTCACAGGTGCGTAAACACCATAAAACGACTCATCATGTCCGTCCTTTCAAACGGGTCCCCGTAAGGGTCACCCTCCACACCAAAAATAAAAGTGAATGTATCAGGGCGCATGACTCTCAGACTTTTTAATCTGTATTTTGAAGTATCTGATGTACACACACTTGCCAAGGAACCCGATACACACTATCTAAGGGCGCTAGGTACTAGAGCCATACACATAGGTGGCTATTTGGAGCCACACAAAAGAATCCACACACATAGGTGGCTATTTGGAGCCACACAAAAGAATCCACACACATAGGTGGCTATTTGGAGCCACACAAAAGAATCCACACACATAGGTGACTATTTGGAGCCACACAAAAGAATCCACACACATAGGTGGCTATTTGGAGCCACACAAAAGAATCCACACACATAGGTGACTATTTGGAGCCACACAAAAGAATCCACACACATAGGTGGCTATTTGGAGCCACACAAACTTCGTACCGTCTGACGACGCCATCAGACGGTACGATCTCTCCCAAATCGCTGCTACAGATACGAATCAGTGACTGCATCACGGAGGCGACCTACCTTGTGAGGAGTGGAAGAGGTAGTCCTCCCTCAGCGACCTGGTCTCCGTGTAGCTGAGGTTGTCGTCGTCGTGGAGGAGGGCGTAGGGGTCCTCCTCGTTCTCCTCCTCTTCCTCGACCAGCGTTGGCGGCGGCGTCAGTTCGTAGCCCCAGCGGCGTCGGAACGCTCGCGCCCCGCCGTCCAGACGCATTCTCGGCAGGTCGTAGAAGAGGGAGTCCCCGATCTGAGGGAGGGACACAGGAACAGTCACGTAATGCGAAAATTCATGATTTAAATGGTCAAAAAGAGTCTGTAAATATCCAAGGGCGAAGGAAGGAAGGAACTATCAGGGGGAAAGCGCCAAGCCATTACGACTATATAGCACTTGGAAGGGGTCAGGATAAGGATTTGGGATGGGACGGGGGGCAGGAATGGTGCCCAACCACTTGTGGACGGTCGGGGATTGAACGCCGACCTGCATGAAGCGAGACCGTCGCTCTACGGTCCAGCCCAAGTGGTTGGACTATCCAAGGCCGAGCAGAAGAGGTGAGGGACAAGGTCAAAGGTCATCTGGATTAGGCTGAAGTTTACTTGTAAGCGCAGATGGTAAGCAAAGAAGGTGTCTGAGACCATTTGGTCACCACTTGGTCCGGGAGACATCTCCCGTCACGCAGGGTGCAGTTGCGCCTCCACAGATCTCCAGTATCATCTTTTGATACTGGTAATGGCTCGAAAGGGCCACCACTTACGGGCTATTCATGCCCGTGCCACCTCTTGGGTGGCTTAATCTTCATCAATCAATCATCAAGGTGTCTGGTCTCCTCAAGGTCAGTAGTGGCCACTCGGTGTTTAGAGAAAGGTCAGAACGAGACGGTGTGGGTGTGGATTTGATATTTGTGTCTGTAGAATCGAGCTATTAGCTCTTGGACCCCGCCTTTCTAACCAATCTATTGTTCCTCCCTTATATCTATTACATATATTTCTCTCTAACACACACACACACACACACATCCCCAAGAAGCAGCCCGAAGCAGCTGTCTAACTCCCAGGTACCTATTTACTGCTAGGTGAACAGGGGGCAACAGGGTGAAAGAAACTGTCAGTTTGTTTCCCTCTCCATCGGGAATCGAACCCGGGTCATTAGGATTACGACCCTCAAGTGCTGACCACTCAGCCGCGAGGCCCCCCCCCCTTTTAGTATAGCTATTTTTATTATATTTTATTAAAAGCATGGAACTTACTTTTATTATAAATTCGCAACTTTTAGTCTTTAAGCTTCATTCAGCAATACGGCTTCTGACAACCCTGCGGCCCGGGGTCCCAGCATCAGTGCCTGGACGCTGGATATATATTAGTTATGCTGACCAGACCACACACAAGAAAGTGAAGGGACAGAAGGGAATATCTATACTCCTGAGGACCTATATACAGGTCCCCTCACTTCCCACAATGCACTCAAAGATCCACTCATCTCTTCCTGAACCCAATATGGCTCCCATTACGCCTATGGTATATATATATATATATATATATATATATATATATATATATATATATATATATATATATATATATATATATATATATTGGGTTTCTCGATACTCTGGACATTTTAAACACCCTTCAGTAACTATAAGAACATACTTTATACGTTTCCAAAATATACAGAGAGGACATCTAGCCACTGGTTGCCATAGACAGACACAGACAGGCAAGCGACAGGTATATTTTAAATGAGTGAAAAGGAGCACCTTAGATTTGGCCGTGGGAGGATCTTGTCCCCGTCGGAGGTGCGTCTTTCGTCCTCCTGGGTTCTTGGAGGTCCTAAGTCTGGCTCTTGGGATTACATGGTGACACTTGACCTCTGACCCTGGGCTCTCCTCCCGTCCAAACACCTTGTGGCCAAGTGTCCTCGCTAACACTCGCCTCACGCTCATCCTCTTCCCGCCCGCCGGCTTCTTGTCCCGGCTGGTGAGCATTTTATCCTCCTGCAGCAGGAGAGGCGCGCCCTTTGTAGTTCCGCAGCTGGCCACCCGCTGGAGGCGCTGCAGTACCGGCGTGCTTGGCGGCTCAGCGAAGATGTGCTGGCGCTCCTGGAGGAGGTGGTAGGTGGTGCTCATGCAGCAATAGTCTGCTGAAACACAGGTCTCTAGCCACTGCATCCTTAAGCCACACACCTGCTGGGGGCGCGCTGATCTACAGCAGACACCCCTCCGCACCTCTGGGTTCGGAAATTCAAATCAACGCGGGAAATCTTTCACGACGAAGCATCACTAACGCGATCACGGTAACACCACTACGGCCAGACTGGGATGCGAACCCTGGTACGGACACACATACACACACACGCACGATCACCACAGCCACACACACCCGACTACCGACCAGTGGTTCCTCGATCCAGCGGCTCCGTCAGCGCCGACCCCGACTCCTGTGCATCGACGCCCTCGAGGCCGTTTAAGACGCCTCACCGTGAGTCATGGGTGAGTCAGCGCTGCGACGACGCCATCAAGGGGGGGGGGGAGGGGGGAGCATGGTGAGTGAAGTGCAGTGGGGGTGTAGGGGGGGGAGGACTTGGCCCCCCCCCTAGCAGAGGGGGGGTTGTGTTGTGTTGAAGCAGGACAGAAAGCATAAAAACAAACGACTATCGCTTCCATAATATACGTTCATGAACACACACACACACACACACACACACACACACACACACACACACACACACACACACACACACACACACACACACACACACACACACACACCTGTTGATTGACGGTTGAGAAGCGGGACCAAAGAGCCAGAGCTCAACCCCTGCAAAGACAACTAGGTGAGTACAACCAGGTGAGTACACACACACACGCATACGCACACAGAAGAGTAAGGGGAGACATGATAACCACCTACAAAATTCTCAGGGAAATTGACAGGGTAGACAAAGACAAACTCTTCAACACTGGAGGGACGCGAACAAGGGGACACAGGTGGAAACTGAGTACCCAAATGAGCCACAGAGACGTTAGAAAGAACTTTTTCAGTGTCAGAGTAGTTAACAAATGGAATGCATTAGGCAGTGATGTGGTGGAGGCTGACTCCATACACAGTTTCAAATGTAGATATGATAGAGCCCAATAGGCTCAGGAATCTGTACACCAGTTGATTGATGGTTGAGAGGCGGGACCAAAGAGCCAGAGCTCAACCCCCGCAAGCACAATTAGGTGAGTACACACACATACACGCGCGCGCCTCACGCACAGGTCGAGAGAGGCAGATCGATGATGTGCACCCAGTGACTCACATAAGGTACTACACAGTAAGGCCGGCGGCAGGGCCGCCAGCTGGTCCACAGGTACCTCCACCACCCACCAGCTGCCTCACAGGTACCTCCACCACCCACCAGCTGCCTCACAGGTACCTCCACCACCCACCAGCTGTCTCACAGGTACCTCCACCACCCACCAGCTGCCTCACAGGTACCTCCACCACCCACCAGCTGGTCCACAGGTACCTCCACACCCACCATCTGTCTCACAGGTACCTCCACCACCCACCAGCTGCCTCACAGGTACCTCCACCACCCACCAGCTGTCTCAAAGGTACCTCCACCACCCACCAGCTGCCTCACAGGAAGATATCTCATGAACTGGGTTTATGGAGTAGAAAGTTCAGAGGGAAAATAACGATTTAATCTAGGTTCGAATCCTGGGTCGACTGGGGACCGAGATTTAATTGTGTGCCCCTATTCACCCAGCAATATTTAGGGACCTATATGAGCTTATATGAGTTCATATAGCTCATAGGGCTATAAGCTCATAGGGTTATCACATGTTGTCTGCTTCTCTACCCAACTGTGTAGACAACGGAAACTACCAAGGTAACTAAATTAAGGCACTACTATTTAAAGCCTAGCCATACAATAATATAATTATACCATGAACCTAATATCTGTTTAAGACAGCCTGGTTGATCAGTGCAGCAACCAGAAGGCCTGGTCGACGACCGGGCCGCGGGGACACTAAGCCCCGGAAGCACCTCAAGGTAAGACAAATGTTCACTTGGCCATTGTCCCAAATAATGTTACTGGAACATTAATAGGCCTTAATAGGCCTATATATTACTTCAATAACGAGTTTACTCCATAGGCCTAGGGCCTTGTTCAGTAGCCATGCTAAGAGTTCTTAAGGTCCTATGGCCAGCATTTATTTCATGCGAATCTCCTGCTATACTGTTTAGGGATTAAGTCTTTCTCGATAGGATCTCAATTTCTTACTTCAAGTGGAGGTTTGGTTGACGACCGGGCCGCGGGGACGCTAAGCCCCGAAAACACCTCAAGGTGACTTGAAGGTAAGATAAGAGTATATCGACCTTGTATTCCTCGGTATGGTGGCACTGGGTCGATTCCAGTCGTTGAGGGTAGTGTGTGTGTGTGTGTGTGTGTGTGTGTGTGTGTGTGTGTGTGTGTGTGTGTGTGTGTGTGTGTATATATATATTCACCTAGTTGTGTTTGCGGGGGTTGAGCTTTGCTCTTTCGGCCCGCCGAAAGATAGCCCTTAATAAGTCTACTAATATGTGTGTGTGTGTGTGTGTGTGTGTGTGTGTGTGTGTGTGTGTGTGTGTGTGTGTGTGTGTGTGTGTGTGTGTGTGTGTGTGTGTGTGTGTGTGTGAGGGTGGTTCTGGGTTGAGGGGTTCGACCTTCATGGTAGATGCTCTTTCCTGTGATGTAAGTCGGTAAAATACACACAACACACACATACACACACACATCGCCTCCTTCTCTTCCAACTTCTCCTCTACCTTGCTCTTCTTTCCCTTTGTACTCTCCTACTCCCACTATCCTTACTGTTCGATTATCCGAACAGGTTGTTCGAATTACCTAACCTTCATCTCACGAACGCTCGATTTGTAACACCCCTTTCATCTTATCGAAAGTCACACACACACACACACACACACACACACACACACACACACACACACACACACACACACACACACACACACACACACACACACACACACACACACACACACACACACACACACACACACACACACACACACACACACACACACACACACACAATAGGCTCAGGAATCTGTACACCTGTTGATTGACGGTTGAGAGGCGGGACCAAAGAGCCAGAGCTCAACCCCCGCAAGCACAACTAGGTGAGTACAACTAGGTGAGTACACACACACACACACAGATCACTGTAGCTATGACAAGTGTGTGGGATGGGGAGTTCA